ACTTATATCATATTGAAATATTCCACTAAAACCGGAGAACTTTCGTCCAAATTGCTACACATTGTCACTTTCCTCGCGACATTGTTTACATTAGTTACCAAGTTTACAAGAACGTTTGTGATTGGCTAATAGCGTCTCATCAATGCTTAACAGGTATGGTAAGTGTGCTGTGATTGGGTACTGCATTCGTGAACAACATTATTTTTTCGAAGATAAATTCTCATTTTTGGTTACAGTTTCCCCAAATTTACGATTGCCGACAATTATATTATGTTTCAATAAAATAGTATTGACATTTTTGTGTGAATGCCAAGTAGCGCGGATCGGTGGTTCACAGAATTAGTAAACTAATTTTGGAGCCTCAACCCACGGTCTAAAATGCAGGCGAGTATAGAGAAGGCCCATCTCGCCGCCCTTTGTTGCATACCTATGCCAGGTGGTATGTTTTCCATTATCTAAAAAGAAAAAACTGAATAATAAATTTACTTTTTTATTCACTCTCGTCGGATTCGAAACTTAATATTCTTTTGACCTCTATATCTTCAGGCACAATATTAGGAATTTAGAATAGCATCTGATGTGCTGTAGAGCGATTTTTGCTCCGGTATTTTTAGCAATGATCTCGTTGTTTCCCTACAACTACAACTACAACTACAACTACAACTACAACTACAACTACAACTACTACAACTACAACAACAACAACAACTACAACTACAACAACAACAACAACTACAACTACAACAAAAACAAATACAACTACGACTACGACTACGACTACGACTACGACTACGACTACAACTACAACTACAACAACTACAACAACAATTACAACTACAACAACAACAACAACATCAACAACAATAATTTGAGTTACAACTGTATGTTAATAGTAAAAGTGACTGCAGAAAACTGGAAAAAGTCATAAAAAAAAATGCAGAAAAGCTGATGTTGATGAATAATAATGAATAATGATTTCTTAAAGTGCAAACATCACCACCAAAAGTGGTGCTCAAGGTGCAGTTGTCTTGTCAAAAAAACAGAGAACAACTGTAATCACAAACATCAACAAGAAAAATGGAATCAATATGTTAATAATAATAAGTTAAATCCTACACCCACTTCAGTTTGAAAATTAGGCCTAGGCCTATGTATGGGAACTTTAAAATAGGCTATGAATAGCCTGGCCAACCCTTTTCTTTTGTTTTTATTTAGCCTAGGCCTAGCTAGAGTAGGCGGGACTAGCTAGGATAAATCAATGTATTAATAATAATAAATAATAGGCCTAGGCCTACCCCAGCGACAACATTCATAACCTAGGCCTATACTGAATTTGAGAAGCCTGCAAGCAATGGTAAAAAATGGAGTATCGGTTATATACTGCACCCTGGCTAGGCTAGCCGTACTAGGCCTATGCGATCCCTGGTGGTGGTAGGCCTACTGCACTCGGACTGCCTAAGCAAGAGAGCCTTATCCTACCTGCCCTACTAGGCACCCCTACTGAGCCAAGGCCTATAAAAAGCAGCCTAAACTAAAATTAGCCTAAGTAAGTAGCCTATAGGCTAGGCACACAGACCTGTTCAGCAAGAAAAATCAGATAACCTTATATTCAGAAGTTACAGTATGATGGGAGAGCATTTACATATACCTCAAGAATCCAACAAAAATGCAGTCCGTCTCTCCTCAATCAGCGAGTACACGAAAATCCTGTTTGAATTATATTGAAACTTTTTCCGAAACACGGGTTGTCCCAAAATGCTTTGCGATAGATTTTTTTACGGGTTTTTTCCTGTAATTTTCTTTGGTCAAACCAATCACAATGACAATTACGGGACATAATTTTAATTAACAAATTGAAGGTGAAAGACCGTAAAAACTACATACGAATAAAAGTAATTTTACGGGAATTTTTTACAGTGTATTTATACTACAAATAGAAGTGCTCACCCTTTATAGGATGTATTACTATAATATAAAATAAAAAGTAATAATAATACTGTACATTACGTTCATACAATAAGTAATTTTATATATTTTAAACCATTTGCAATGAATAATTGTATTTGTGCCTGCCTTATTTTACCTAAAATTTATAATCTATTTCACTGACAATTCAGATAACCTTGCAATTTTGTTGTTAAATGTATTTGTAAATATCATTATAGGCCTACATTGTTTCAATAATTCACCTTTGTCAGGCTTTAATATCTTGCTTAATATATAGTTTTAAACTTCTTTAGGGCTAATGTAGGCATATTACTTTTTACATTATATCAATTGAGAATGTTTTAATTACCTAAAAATGTTTTCTTTTTAATTATTAATTTTAATTGTTTTTATTTGTTATGGATTGTATATAAAAAACACAAGGTCTACCACATGAATTGTATCTGTCCTATACAATTAATTAAATAGTGAATTTAGCATATAAATAAGACTTGGACCTACCTGAACTCCATTTGCACGGACTGGTCGGCTAATTGCTTTGTTAGAAATCTTTGCATTGACCTTTTGGTTAAGACTCAATTTCGACAAAATATGTTGTATTCGTGGTTCGCTAAGACCTTTGTAGTGATTTAACGAACGAATTGCTTTAGCTTTCTTGATCCCATTCCTGTGCAATGTACAAACACATTTTTGGAAACATTTTGTAACACGGATGCATTTAAAACTTCTTTCTCGCGAAAACAAAGAACCTGTTTTCCATTAATTGTTTTGACACTAAAATGTTCCTTATTTCTCCAAAATCGAACATGAGCAGTTCTCTGTTCAGTAGTTCTTTCTGCCACTGGTACGTCAAACGACCCTTCACACAAACTCAAGATTGTTTGATATGATATGTCATTTAAAGGCCGTATTTGCCTCTTGTCTTCTTTAACAGCTGAAGTTGTGTCAGAGATGACCAACAAAAGTAGAAGTAAACTCTGCTTTATCATTTCGAACCAGTTAAACGATGAACAAATAGAATGTGAAATGAGAGTCACAGGGTGGGTTTTCTTTATAATTATCCTGTCCCTGAGTTTTGTGTTTGTGCTTAGTGATCATCGTTACCCGATGGATCAAGGATCTCTAGGAGAACACCATCATTTGACTCCCAAGTGTCTGGGTTTAGTTTATTTTGGCCAAATAATAGAATTTAACTCTGGCGAGTTTCTGTTAAATGTGTTAACTTATTCTTAATTTGTGTAATAAATCATCAAATTAAACTAATGTGACCTCAGTTAAGTCCAGCATAAGAGTACATATAGGCTACGGTCACACTAGCGTCTCAAGCCTGGCTTGACTCACTGCGGGCGAGATTTTAAGCCAGGCTCAAAATTCTGGGTCGGTCCCACTAGTTGGATTGACCTCTAAATTATGAAAGTCGAAACAGCAGAGCCGTAAAGAGAGAGTTTCACCAACTCTGTTTCACGGGATTCGATATATGCGCGTGTGATTGGGTGGATCGCAATCAAAGATTTTACACCAGACGTGCCCGAACCACTCTTCTTCAACTGATCTTTTATCAGCTTGTATTGGGCTCGCAATGCCTTCACTTTTGTTTGAATTTGGGCCGTCTTGATTGAACACACATGAAGAACTCACAGGTTTTTAATTCAAGAACTTCTAAACGCAACGGCGTCATCGACTGTGATTGGTCGACAGCCGACAAGGAAATGTCAATCTCGGTCACGCCAGGGTCAATCAAGGTTCAATATGGGTGTTGAGCCGGGATCGAGATAGGTAGATTGAGATCGAGGTCACGCCAGGCGCGAGTCGGTGCAGATGCGGTCACATTACGAAAATCTCACCCGCGGTGAGTCAAGCCAGGCTTGAAACTCTAGTGTGACCGTAGCCATAATGAATTGACTTTCAGAAGTGATGCCTTACATTTGTCATTTCAAGGTTTTAGAGTTACCTAATAGAGAGTTTCTATGCCAATTTAGTGTGACTGAAAATCATCTAAAATTTGTTAAGTATAATTAAAGAATTAATAATTTATATTTTCATGAACGGCCGCCCATCTATCAGACTCCTCTCACTGAATCCCACTACCCCTTGCAATATAGCATCATATGAAATATGTTATTATGGTTTTAGTTGTATTACTACAAGAAATGAGGCGGAGTGAAAAATGTAATGAATATCTCGTCATATTGATTTTTATCATCACATTCATCATTCATTAACTATCGAAAATACTCAGTCAATCAACCATTTAATTTGTCAATCCATTTATCAACACACTCTTCCGCTTATTTATTCCACCCACCCATCCATTTATCCACCAATCAACCTACAAACCATCAATAAAAAAATATAATCAGGGAACCAGCCAACCATCTGACAAATATCAATTGATGATACTTTCCGACAGGGAGAAAGGTGTCCCCTTAACCCCTGCCCCTCCCTTAGCTGACACTACTAATATCTTCACACTTTTTCTTGAGTTTACGTTATTTACAATACTGTACATTAAAACAACACGAGAGTCTGCTTGCTAAGGAGTTTAGTAATGGTTGTGTGTGTGTGTGTATATATATATATATATATATATATATATATATATTTGCCTTTTAATCTATATATATGTATATATACATGTATAAATACACGTATATATACACGTGTATATATACACTGTCTCTTATACACATCT